TCATACTAAAAAATTAACGTGGGTCATTAATAGATTTGACAATTAATAGAAATTGTTGATCAAATTGTACATTTTTCGATGTGGTAACCGATTACCTCATAAATTGATAATGGTTAAAAAAATTATATATTTAAAAAAAATACATGCTAGAAAGTACAAGACAATTAACTTTGTCATATAGTACAAGTCATATTAATACGATCCAAATTTTATATCACAATATTGGTTAGAGTTAAAACAATTTAAGGTCACATTTGCAACTTCTATGGGTAATACTACTACGATTAAGGTAGAGTTACCAATTATGTGAGTAAAGTTACCACATTTAATGTTACATTACAAAGTTTGTGGGTTAATTTACGACAAAAATAAGTTAAGTTACAACTACTGTTGACAAATTTACAGCAACTTTGATAAAATTACACCAATTAAGAGCACATTTATTACAGTTTAAGATTAAGTTACAACAATAGTGGACAAAGTTACAAGAGTATTAAAACTTATTATTATATTGCTTAAAATTACAACATATGTAGATAAGATTACAAACTTAAGGTAAAGTACATCAACAGTGATATCTTTATCCTAAATGGTGATAAATTCATTCTAAATACTAGTAACATCACTCAAAATTATCATAATATTACCATAAAAGTTGTAATATCGTCCAAAACAATGATAACATTACCTCCAAAACAGTAGTAAAATTACTTGAAAAGTAATAATTTCACCTTAAATCAGAGTAAATTCACTCAAATCATTGCAATAGCGTGCCAAAAGATTGTATTTTTTATCCAATTAAAATTCAATTTATCAAAATAATACTCAAACTCATGAAATCAACGTTCAAAATTATTAAATTAACATTTAATTAATTAAATTAACACTAAATTAACATTGAATTCATCCAATTAACACTAAAATTCATCAAATTAATATTCAACTTCGTTAAAAATTGACATTCAGTTCATCCATTTAATATTTAAATTCATCTAATTAACATTCAATTCCTCAAATTAACATATAAAATCATCCAATAAACAGTCAATTCATCAAATCAACATCAAAGTACCATACACTTTCATCCAATCAACATTCAATTCATCAAATTGACATCAAATTAATAATCAAATTCATCTAATTAGTATTAAATTAATCTAATTAATATTCAATTTTGTCCAATTAACATTCAATTTATCACTTTAATAATAAATTAACATCCAATTAATATTCAATTCATCAAATTAACATAAATTTATCATTCAGTTCATCAAATTAACATTCAAATTAAACTGGTGAGCATTAAATTTATTAAATTAACATTTAGTTTGATCTAATTAATCAAATTAACATTCAATTCATCAAATTTATATTTAAATTTCTCTAATTGACAATTAATTCATCAAGTTAACATCTAAAATCATCCAATAAATATTCAATCATTAATGTTATTAAATTAACATTCAATTTATTATTAACATAAATTGATAAATTGATGAATTATCAAGTAACATTCAATTATTAACAATAAATTTTATCTAATTAACATTTAATTTATTGAATTAACAGTCAAATTCAATTGAGTAACATCAAATTCATAAAATTAACATCCAATTTAATAATCAATTGTGCTCAATTAATATGAAGTTTATCAAATTAACATTCAATCTATCAAATTGTATTTGAATTCATCTCATTATCATTCAATTTATGAAATTAAACTCCAAAATCATCTAATAAATATTTAATTCATCAAATTAACATCCAAATTAACACCAATTTTGAATTGACAAAATTGAATATTTATTCGATGTTAATTTGATAAAATAAAATAATAATCAAATGAATGGGAATGTTACAGTCTTTTGGTGTTGCTCGCACCATTTGGAATAAAGAAAATTATTATTATTTATCTCCAAAATGTTTACAATCTATCCCAAGAGTTTGGGATCTATTGCAATGTTACTGTAATCTCCCCCAAAAGTAGGTTTCTCACCCAATTTTGGTAATGTACAACTAATCTTACTTAAAAAGATAAGTTTGGGATCGATCATAAATGTCTATGATTGATCTAAAGGTCACGGGAGTGAGATTTACCAAAAATGTGGATAATTTAGCATAATTAATGGCAAATTTAATACCTTTGAGGGTCAATTTATGACAGCTATGGATAAATTGACAAGTTTAAAGGTGAATTTACAATTGTTCTAATTAATCATACAACTAATTTGATTAATATTACGATAATTTTGAATAACATTACAAGGATTAAGGATAAATTTATAACAAAATAGATTAAATTAAGACCATGATGGATACATTTACCCCAATTTGGGGTAATGTTACGACATCAAAGGAAAAACTTACTAGAGTTCATGATTAAATACAACTACCGTGGATAAGATTACTAGTATATAGAGCAATGTTACATTTAATTTGATTAATCTTACAATAATCGTAAGTAATTTTAAAAACATCAAAGTAAATGTACAATATCGATGAAATGTACTAATGACGTATTTATAATAAATATGGTTAAAGGTCTCAACCAATACTTTTACCACTATATTGGTTACGTTAAGGATAATATTATCACCGTTATGGTAAGATTTACCAAAACAGTGAGTAATTTATCACAATTGAGGGTACATTTAGCACTTTTGAGTGTTAGTTAACACAATTGTAGATAAATTTACATGTTTAGAGGAAATTTTTTGACTATTTTGGTTAATATTATGACAATTTTATGTAACATTACAAGAACTAAGGATAAATTTACGACAAAGTAAGTTAAGTTAAAATCATGGTGGAAAATTTAATTTAGTTTAGGGTTAAGTTAGAGTGATTGTGGATAATGTTATTAGTATATATGTCAATTTTATTTTTATTTTTGGTAAATATTACAATAATCATGAATAATAATACAAACTTAAATGTAAATTTATGACATTAGTGGGATGCACTATTGTCGTATTTACGATAAATATTATTAAATGTGTCAATCATACTTTTATCATCATAATGGTTAAAGTTTGTCCACTACTTTAGTAATTTTACCTATTACTATTGTAAATTTCTTACTATTGTTGTAATTTTTTTACTAATGATGTTGTAATTTTGTTCACCACTATGATAATTTTGCTCATTATTGTCGTAAATTTTCTACTAATATTGTAATTTTAACCATTACTATAATAATTTTGTCCACAATTGTTGTAAAATTTTCTACTATTGTTATAATTTTGTCTATTATTATTATAATTTTTTTATTACTGTTAATAAATTTTTCACTAATATTATAAATTTGCCCTTATTTAATATACGTAGACAATGTAAAAAAGCAATTAGTAAAATTGGTTATCTTACTTTTGCTGCTATACGTGGCCAAATCTGAAGCATTTTATAGTTGATAATTTTTCGACATGATACTGAAAATTCAAACGGAGGTGTCATACACAACTGCAATAAACAAAAAAAATAAAGAAAGAAAACAAAGGGGGAAAAAATTGGTGAACGGACAAGTGTCCTTTATGATAGTGAGTCATAATCCATGTGTATGAGTGAGAGTTAAGGGGTGTTGGGTGCTGTGAGGTTGGTGGAAGGATTACAGGAAGTGACCACTAAGGCTTTGACAAGAAATTAAATAGTAATTTGTGTACCGATCGTTACGAGGTTCGAGTATACTATTCATGTTATTCAAAATTTCGGATTTATTAGCAACAGCCTTGAAGTATGAGGTGATGTATAATATGTTACTTATTGGATCTCTTTGTAAAGAGTATCTTTTTGAATATTTTTAATTGTATTATCTTGATTATGAAATTTTGATTGAATTTCGTTGAGTACATTGCTTTTATTGATTGTGTTTTGTGTTGACGGAGACGAAATCCCCACCATTCCAACCAACAATCAGATTTATCGCTAGAGATTTGTAAGATCGGGTTGAGGGTAGATAATTGATGAAGTGTCAAATCTGCGTTTTGATCTTATATGACGGGTGATATACAAAATATAAGTTTATTGATTTGTATTTGTTGTTTGAGATAGTTGATGATCCGCGATTTATTTGATATTCGATAGCGTTAAGTATATTATTTATCATCATATTGTATACTTATCTGTTTTATTTAATATTTTCATGTGATTCCGCGAGAAAAACTCAAATTAAAATATTTGAAGATTAAAGATGAGTGTCTCCTGATATAATTTTGTAATAGTGAAATTGAGAGATATATTCAAATTTAGAGTTTATATTGATAATTATAATTTTATTGGGATAATTAACGCTCTATTATTTTTAGTTGAATGTATTTAACAAAATAATGTCCTCGAGAAATCGGGGTATTATAGTTTGATGAGACTCGACCAAATGATTTTGGGTATAGATGTGAGCAATTGGGTACTCTATATTAATCTTAACAGATATGCAGTAGTCATCAAATATTTGAAAGGTAAAGTCATCGATATTATCAAAACGAATTGTCTTAATTAGATAATTTGAAATATGTGCTCGTAACTAGATTATTCAAGCAAAAAAAGGGTAAAAGTAACATTTGAGTAGATAATAAAGAAATATATTAACATCATGTTGGGATATCAATTAAGATCATAAAATATCAAAATAGTCCACACGATGGATAAATAAATTTATAAATATTCTTTTAAATTAGAAGTTATTAGCGCATTGGTCTATAACCACTGTCCATTGATATACCAACTTTAATTTTGTATTTAATAGTCATTATATTTGAAGGCTTATAAAATAAGGCCTAGACTACGTTGCAAAATATACAAGTCGAGAAGTTATATTCTTCAGCATTTCAATATTTTATTGTTTCTTTGCACATATATCAGTTTATATTTCTTTATTTTTACAATGCAGACCAATATAAAAGTGATAACTTTTTAAGTTTTGTATGAAAATTATAAGGGGATGTTAGTATAATTTATCTTTCTTTTGGGGTTTGGCCGGCGCGGGCGTGTGTGGACCAGACGCCGCCCATTCAGTTCATGCCCACCAATGGAGAAAATTGGACAGTCAAACGTTTGATTTCGCACAAATTCACCAACCCACGTTTGAAATAAGGATTCGTTCAACTAAACCCCACCCCCACCCTCTCTCTCTCTCTCACCTCCTTTTCTTCCATTCTTCTCTTCCCACCTGCTCTGATTTATAGGAATTAGGGCTCCGACGCCCTCTCGCTATTGCTGGGATTGTTCAAGATCAAACACTTTTGGTTCAATGGCGGTTGCGAGTGGTTTCGTGAGCTCTGTTGCAGAGTTGAAGACGAAGATGGAGTCGACTAGCCTCGTCCATGGCGTTACATCTGCTTCTTCATCGTCCGTGGCTTGTTTTCCTTCTCAGGTTCGAAACCTATGCAAGTCATCGAAGATCAAATTGAAGGTCCCTGAAAGAGGAGCATTTGGTTTGAGCATTAGATGTGAGGTTAACTCGGACACATTGGTTCGCAACGATGAGATTGGATCGAAAGCATCGAGTCTTTCCGCTCTCCAACTTCTCAAGACATCCGCCGGCGATAGTGAGTCTTCTTCTGTCTTGTCTCCTCAATGCGATTTTCTATTTTTTTTTTTAAAAATAATTTATTTAGCGTTGTAAGATGGAGATGTTCATGAGCATTGTAAGACTATACCACGAGCCATGTGCTGGAGCTACCTTGTTGGTAAGGTCATCTTGTATTTGCAATTAGTAAGGTCAGAGGGGTGAACACTTCAGAATGCCAAAATGAAAGATTGGTGTTTCTATAAACTCCCTTGTTGGATAGGCCATCTGAACAAGTTTTGCACCGAGTATAGATGCTCAACAGGCTCATATATGTGTTTAGGAGGCATATCTATTACTGAATGGAGAGGGGGATCTTGGCGCAATGGCAAGGTTGCTCTATTGTGACTTGGAGGTCACGGGTTCAAGTCACAGAAATAGGTCTATGTTTGCAGAGGTAAGACTTCATACATCTACCTCGTGTACTGGGGATGCCTTTATAGCTATTATTGAATGGAGGGGGGGTCAAGGTTTGATACGCCTTTGCATGGTGATCCCCATTTGGCTGTGGATGAGTAGGCAGAAGATTTTGAAGGCAAAACGCACTTGCGAGAAGAATAAAGGATTATCATACCAACCTCATTGAAACACAGAGTATTGCCTAAAATCCACCAGAGCTTAACATTTTATACCAATTAGTAAAGAATGAAGAGGCTGCTTAACCATATACCAAAGCTTGGATGGTCCTAATATTTCAACGTGGGATGTAAGCTTTAACACCTCCCATTATGTCTCTTTTGTTTTTTGTGGAAACTGAATTTTCATTCATAAAACGGTAAGACTAAGTCGGGGGCCTATTCTAGAGGCTTCCATAAGTTTATTTGCACACATGGAATGGACAAGTTTTATAAAAAGTTTGGTCAAAAACCTGGTGCCGAAGCATTCCGTCAAAATTATTTCGATAGTAGTTAAATCATCTCCCTTGTGTTGGGGTGGGGGGATACCATCATATTAGTCAATGAATTTGAGGCTTCTGTTCCCTTAGTTCTTATTGGTATAATGTCTCTTTAATCTTCGCCCTTTTTTATAAAATTGTTGTTCGATTACCTGAGAAATAAGTCACATGAAATTATGTGAAACTGATTGTTGAAGATTTGAATCCATTTTCGCCAGGATATACAAAGGAAAGGAGCAGTTTACTGGTTATTGGGCTTAATGTTCACACAGCACCAGTTGAGATACGTGAGAAGCTTTCAATTCCAGAAGCACAATGGCCTCAAGCGATAGGTGAGATATGTGCTTTGAATCATATTGAAGAGGCTGCTGTTCTGAGTACCTGCAATAGAATGGAAATATATGTTGTGGCTCTCTCCCAGCATCGAGGGGTTAAAGAAGTGACTGAATGGATGTCAAAGGTACTAGCTGCCTCTAATTTTCACGCAACTAATTTTTGCCTTCCGTGTAACTGCTTTACACCCCCATTAATCCCCCATAAATAAACAAAAGGATCAACCCAATAAAATGAGTGAAGTGCTTCTTGTTGAAATGATTTAGTAGTGGGTCAATCCCCCTTGAACATCTATATAATAAAAGACATAGTAAGTTTAATTTTACCTTACATATTTTTCCACCTGAAAACATCACATCATCCAATTTTATCACATGTTTAATTATTTAATATTTGATTAATTTGTAATTTAACACAATTTTTATTTCATTATTTGTCCATACATTATAGTATACACATGTTTAGAAAATTTTGCCTAATTATACATTTTGAGAAAATTAACGCTATTTTAAAGAAAATAATAGGTAAAAATTAATTTTAAATAATGTAATCAAATAAGTGAAGAAATAAAAAATTTTATTTAGTATAATAGAATCAATTTTTTGAACATTCGAATCTTATGTTTCATCGTGCTTTTCGGCACGGGGTAGGACTAGTATATTTATATACATACACATCTGCATATATATGCAGAATATAAGGCACTGGACTAACATCTCCCCACTTCCCAAAAAAAATTAAGGTCTGTGTTTTCTCATTCTTAATAAATTAGTTAGTTGGAAATATTAGGGTTATTTTTTTATATGGCCCTTGTGGTTTAGACTGAGGATACATTGCATAGAAATTCCATATATATAAGGATGTTTATTCAACGTTCTGAACCTTCAGAACTGGTTTCTGCCATCAGATGTCATGCTCTTTTATATTTTTCATTTTTTTATTTCTGAAAACTTTGATCATCTGCCTAAGATGAATGAATATGACTTAACATGGACGAAGTAGATTTGTTTGTTTGAGAAAGAAAGGAAGTGACAGAATAGTAGAAGGGTAATGTTGTATGCCTTCCCAACCTGTGTAACGTTTATCGATCACATCACAGTGCCTCGTTGTAGTTTCCCGAGTTAGTACTGTGCAGAGTGCTTTATGTTTGTGCATATGCCTATAACAAACTTGCAAATGACTGTGTATATTTCTGCTTGCAGATAAGTGGAGTTTCAGTTTCAGACCTTTGTCGTCACCGATTTTTGCTCAATAACAAAGATGCCACTCGGCACCTCTTTGAAGTATCTGCTGGCCTGGACTCTGTTGTTCTCGGAGAGGGTCAGATTCTTGCTCAGGTGAAACATGTTGTAAAATCTGGACAGGGAGTTCAGGGATTTGGTAGAAAAATCAGCGGGCTTTTTAAACATGCTCTGACGGTTGGGAAACGTGTCAGAACCGAGACAAATATCTCTGCAGGATCAGTGTCAGTCAGTTCAGCTGCCGTGGAACTTGCCCTAATGAAACTCCCGACATACTCTTGTACTACTGCTAGAGTGTTGGTGGTTGGGGCAGGCAAGATGGGGAAACTTGTGATCAAACATTTGGTTGCAAAAGGGTGCACAAAAATGGTGGTTGTTAACAGAACTGAAGATAGAGTTGCTGCCTTGCGTGAGGAGCTCAAGGACGTTGAAATTGTTTACCAACCTCTCACCGAATTGCTGGCTTGTACTGCCGAAGCTGATGTAGTTTTCACCAGCACTGCTTCAGAAACCCCGTTGTTCTTGAAAGAGAATGTTCAGACACTTCCCCCTGTGAACTCTCAAGTTGGAGGGCGGAGGCTGTTCATTGATATTTCCGTTCCTAGAAATGTAGGATCATGTGTCTCTGACCTTGAAACTGCATGTGTTTACAATGTGGATGATCTCAAGGATGTCGTGGCAGCTAACAAGGAGGATCGGCTCCTGAAAGCAATGGAAGCTAAGGCAATAATCCCAGAGGAAGTCAAACAATTTGAAGCTTGGAAGGATTCTCTTGAGACTGTTCCTACCATAAAAAAGCTTAGGGCATATGCTGAGAGAATTAGGGCTTCCGAGCTCGACAAGTGTTTGTCAAAGATGGATGTTGATATTTCAAAGACAAAAAAGAAAGCAATTTATGATCTTAGTGTAGGTATAGTAAACAAGCTCCTACATGGTCCAATGCAGCACCTGAGATGTGATGGAACTGACAACCGGACTCTAAGTGAGATACTCGAGAACATGCATGCTCTTAACAGGATATTTGGACTTGAGACAGAGATTTCCATGTTGGAAGAAAAGATTCGAGCCAAGATGGACCAGTCCCAGAAGTAATGTTCTTGGAATTGGTTTCTTTGTTGTTTCAAGTTCACCATTTTTTCAAAACTCAGGATGTATTTCTCACCACGTTGGTGCTATGCATTTTGGTAGAGCGGTGGGTCCATATGGATGCTGTTGTATTTGTGGCTTTGTGTGTCCCTCACTTGGTTTCACCATTATACGTCTCTGCGTTGTATATTAAGAGATATTCTCCATGGTAGGAATGAATATACACGGATATGAGCAGATAGTACGGTAGGGAAGGCGATAAAATTTTTCCAGTTAGAGCTTTTCTTTGTAACCGAGGGTTATCCTTGTCGCGGATGAAAGTGACACCTACTGCAAACTTCTTATAACTTGCGGTTTACCAATCTGATTTATTCAAGATTTCAGATGCCTGGCTAATCTAAGGTTTGGCTCCTCTCCAATTTTATTTACCCCCGAGTTCTCAATTACTGTATCTAATTTTCTATTTTGTATAATTTTTGGCATTTTTCTGTTGTTTATTCTTTAATAAACATTCCTAAAAGGAGAGAAGTTGCTTTTTTTTCTTTCTTTCTTCCAATGTCATCTTCAAATGTGAGGAAGATAAAACTTCATCAAATAAAGGAATATGGATTCAAGCAGGATTGTTACATTTTTCTGGATGATGGTCAGTGCTTGTTTATGGATTCACCATGGACAGTGCTAATGAAAATTAGTGGAGCATGTTGCAAATATAAGTTCTGGGGGATGCTATCACCTATTCGTGTGTTCCCGTTGCATTCGCTTTGTTTTTTTTTTTTTTAAAAGAAGATAAAATCCAATATTTTCATGTTATTGTTACTATCTGTTGATGTCCTCCGATATGGTTGATTGGAATTATGCCTTTACCACCAGTGGGGGTATTCCTGCAAGAGAAATCGAGGATGGGTGGGGCTCTAGTGGCTGATCTTTCGATGATAAAGTCAAAAAAGAATGATTGAAAGTGATTTTATCTAATTGCGAGTAGTCAACTTATCTTGATGGTGTCCAACTTGATCTTTTTGTAGGCTAGAAAATTGGACCGTTGAAAGATTTTTAACTGTTATTTGAATGGAACGGTACTAAAAAGTACTAAAAGTGAAATAGATAGCGTCTTATAGTCAGAATATCTCAACTAATTGGAATTAGTTAAAGTGTGCAAAACTAAGGAACTAGTGAGTTGGAACGTAGAGTTGGACCTTTCCGAGCTATGGAGCTCTTCCTCCGAAGCCGCAGAGCACCTCTGTCGGGGCTTATTTTACCATTATTACTCCAAAATTGAATATAGAAACTGACACAAATATTTTTTTTTGGGCGAGGGAAGGGGGACTTAAATCCTTAACCTTAATCTTAAGAAGATGAAACATTCATAAAATAAAGAATAGCATTAAACCAAAAATCCATCGGTAACCGAANTTCAAATGTGAGGAAGATAAAACTTCATCAAATAAAGGAATATGGATTCAAGCAGGATTGTTACATTTTTCTGGATGATGGTCAGCGCTTGGTTATGGATTCACCATGGACAATGCTAATGAAAATTAGTGGAGCATGTTGCAAATATAAGTTCTGGGGGATGCTATCACCTATTCGTGTGTTCCCGTTGCATTCGTTTTATTTTTTTTTTTTAAAAAAGAAGATAAAATCCAATATTTTCATGTTATTGTTACTATCTGTTGATGTCCTCCGATATGGTTGATTGGAATTATGCCTTTACCACCAGTGGGGGTATTCCTGCAAGAGAAATCGAGGATGGGTGGGGCTCTAGTGGCTGATCTTTCGATGATAAAGTCAAAAAAGAATGATTGAAAGTGATTTTATCTAATTGGGAGTAGTCAACTTATCTTGATGGTGTCCAACTTGATCTTTTTGTAGGCTAGAAAATTGGACCGTTGAAAGATTTTTAACTGTTATTTGAATGGAATGGTACTAAAAAATACTAAAAANTCAGTGCACATTGATCAATCCATAGATAGTCCTCCATGAATAAGGTCATTTCTAATCCCAGGACAGAGTCTGACTTTAATTTAGATATACTGAATTTAAATTTTAATAATTTTTTAGAATCAAATCATGAAAAATTTATTTCTCTCTCGTACCTTAGTCTAAGTGTGAATAACCTGTTTTTTTTTCTATATAAAAAATATAAAAATATATATACAGATATTTCACTTTATATATCCACTAAAGAACATTGTTCATCAACACCACACAGTTATCTATATAGAACTGCACTGCACAGCACCTACGTTAGGGTCAACCAAAGAACATTGTCCATCAATACCACATAACTATCTATAGGAAACTACATTACGTCAGGGTTAAAATTAAGGTCTCATCATATACTCTGGATGTTAAAGATTAAGTTTAGTCACAACTAATTGTCATAACTAGAGACTCGAACTCAATCATCGATCAAATAAACTCAAAATCTTACCCACTAAGTCAACAACTTATTGGTAATAAATAATAACTTGCCTTTGACCATCGGTACCTCAAAAGAGGATGGTATTATATCTCTATTTATAAAAAAATATTTTTTTATACAAAAAAAAATAATAAAAATAATTATCATTCACGTGATAAAAATATTTACAACAATAATAAAAACATCCAAAAAATTTATATATTATCCATAAAAATAATAAATTTTTTTTATCATAAAATAACTCACAAAAATTATAAAAACAACCATTAAAGTAGTAAAAATGAGAGTCACGATTCCAAAAAAATTTCTTGATAAAATTAAGTTAATAAAATCAAGTCCTAAATTTCACTAGTGATCCTAAAAGGTAAAATTATATTTAAAAGTTAATAAATTTTACCAAAAAAAATAATATAAATACTCAAAAAAAAAAATTAATAAGCGACACAATACTGAAATGTTTTCGATACTCTAATCGAACCAAAGAATTAACGTATCAGACGAGGAATGTAGTTTCAATAATAAACCATCGCAAAACCCAATAGAATTTCCAATAACTCTCTAGGGTGAGAACCCCATTAGTTTCTTCAAACCAGGAAACAATACAGAATCAGAATTAGAATCAGAATCAGAATCAAAATCAGAAGAATTTGGAGATGGGTTTTCTTCAAGCAAGTGTTCATCAACCAATTCTTTCACAGACCTTGCTGACAATGGATGAAAATTGGCACTCCACTCAGCTACAAACTCTTTAACCAAAACCCACTTGTCTTCTTCATTCATTTGCTTCCATTTCTTCTTCATTTCCTCAGATTTCAGGTCCATGTACTGGCACAGCTCTGTGAACAGGAGCTCTCTGCTCTTCTTCATGGCTTCTTCTCTTTGAACCAAATGGGTATTTAATCTTTCAACCTCTGTGGCTAAATCTGATGAAAGATCTGCATCATTGGGACTCTTGTTTTTGGTGCATGAGGTTTGGAGTTTGGATGGGTTGGTGACAGAAATCATGGAGGGGAAAGGATGGGTTTGGAATTTCAGGGGCTGTGGGAGAAGTTTTGGGCAGAGGAGATGAACCCTTAGAGCCATCGGATGATTTGGTTGATGGGGCTGGGGTTTGTGATTTTCAGAATAGCAAGGGTTTTGATTTTGTTGGGGTGTCTAGATTCAGAGGGAAGGGAACATATGGGTTACCCGGGCGGGTTGGAGGATCAATCCAAGTTCAACCCGAGTTTTAAAATTTTTAATCTTAATTCAACCTGAGTCTGATTTCTAACCCCAGAAATTTAATCTGAGGTTTGTCTAAGTTAATTTTGGGCCTAATTTGAATTAACTAATTCAGGTTTAATTTTGGGCTCAATTTTGGGTATGATACAATAACGTTACCAACTTAAATTAAAAATACACTTAATTTCATGTTGAATCTAAATTTTGAATTCAAGTTGAGTCCGATTTTAGCAATTTGGGTTAGGTTTGAGTTGAACCCCATAAATCCAAAGCCTCAACCCAATTTATAGCTCGAATTCACTTCGATTTGAGATTTTTTAGCTTTAGTCCAACTCAAAAATTTTAAAAACTTTAACCCAAATCTTATTTTTTAGACCGAATTTGAGTTAAGTTCAAGCTAGACGGCCAAAGTTGTACCCTAAGTAAACATGAAGAATAGAAAAATATCATTTTTAGCCTATATATCACACATTCGGCTAGGACTATTAGTTGAACGAGGTCGAGGCGAACTTAAAAAGTTTGTTTCTTAATTGAGCTTAAAAAATTATTCAAGTTTGGCTTGTTTAAAAAACGAGTCAGCCTGAACGAGCCAAAAACAAGTTGAGTCTGATCCGAGCTTGAATATTTGCCCATAAACGAGTCGAGTTTGTCGAGTTTGAACTGAATTTGTAGGATTTGTTTTTTAAACGAGCCTAAAAATTTGTTTAAATTTAGGCTCATTTAGAAAACAAACCGAGCCTGAACAAGCCGAACTCGAGTAGCTCAATTTAATTGATAGTCCTAAATGCGGCCGCCTTAAATGTGATTAAGATATTGAAAATTATACAGGATGATAATTTATTTTTAAAAAAAACTAAATTTCAAAAATGGTTTTGTATCAGTTTTAAATATTAAAAGTTTTTTGTTTTAATACGATTAAGTTGCAACGAATCAAAAAAGAAAGAATTAAGTATCAGCTTGGAGATTAAGGGATGAAAACTGTTGAGGCTGAGGATTAAGATGCAAAAGGTGATAGTGTTATGTTGGGGATAAAATTATGTTAAAATTTGGTCAATCTCATACTCGATTTATTTATTTAATTAAATTCATCAATTTCAAATTCGTATTATAGTAAGACAATATTTAGAAAATTTGTATTCTATTTAACTAGATTTATAGCGATCCGTCAATTTGACGAATATAACATATTAACTAATCTATCATCGGAACGTATTTAGACTAGATTCAACCACACAACAAATTCTATGTTAAATTCACAAAACGTATCTAAAATTACCCACAGCAGACCTAACTACATGACCCATTTTTTTTCCTCTTTTTTTGTATCTTGTCACAAACCCTGCCACCAATACTTATGATTAGCACCTGGAGCAAAAGGAACAGCAGATATTTTAGTGTGTTGAGAGATTTAATATCATTGGCAACTTTTTGGGTCATGAAAAACCTCATAAATATTCTAGTCGTAGAGTGAATGACTTGCCTTTAATTAAACCGAGAAAGAGATTAGTCGAAGAGTATACAAGCTAACTCGAACACCCTGACTGTTGAACTAAAAAAAAACCCCGAGAGATTCAATATCATTGATTCATTCAGCTAGTATATTTAAAAGATAGAATTACCACAAAAAAACTCGACATGCTCAAAGCCTGGGAACATGAAAAGGTCCTCTTCCTAAACTCATCTTCTCTACCACTCAGGAACCAAAAATAAAAAATAAATAATGAGGTCCATTAAATTGCATAAAACAACACATACTGAACAAGTTTGGATGCTCACAATATGGAGTGATAGGTTTTGAAGTTCTAACAAAAACACAAAATGATAATGCATACAGAAAGCAAAGTGAAAAAATGATGATGATTTGTCCTACAAAATTCGACAGTTCAATTGTAGAATAATCCAATCTTAGCTCCCCTTTGACTGAACTTTTCTTGCTTCCCTTGATCATCTGGTGGTCAGGTTCTCCGCTGAAATGATAGCATTCATGTTTCTGAGGAAACTCGAGGGAATATGCAGACAAGTAAAACAACAGCTTCTCATATCTAGATTTGATCTCTGCGGAAAGAAACTGCTCAAAATTTTCTGTGAGACCTGCAGGGATTCACAAAAATGCAGATCTCCATGAAATTTGACAACATACATTTCACCATTCATTACCCTGTCTCCAAGCTGTATCGGATGAACTGCGACAAGATATCAACCCACGTGTCAGGAACACCCGGTAGGCACCAGTGCATGCAGTCCTGACCCCATTCAGCCACTGCATCCTTCTTTCCCAACCAAATTGCTGGATGAGCATCTGCTCTAAACTCACTCAAATGAGTCAGATCAAGTATTTTGATATCCGTGTCTCGCAATGCCTCTTCAATCACACTATTCAGTTGTCTTGCTTCCTTGTTCACCCCATTGTTGCTGGGATCAAACCACAAGTCAAGCTGTTCAGGTATCAGTATTGGTTTCAACACAGATACGGAGTACATAGGTATAGGAGGGCATGCCAGAAAAGTTCTGGCTTTCCACTTATTATATGAAAAGGAAAAAGTAAAACTGCATATGAATAAGATTAAGGCCAATTAGTCATTTCCTCCATCTAGCAATAGGAGTGCAGTTCTGCCCTCAATTTAGAATTGGGGAAATTCTAAAATTCAGCATTTTCTTCAAGTATGAACTCTTCTCATATATTTAAACATTACAATGTAAAAGATCCAGTAGATTCCTGTATAGTTTTCAAAATTTCAGGACTTTGCCTTCCTTGTTGATCAGGAGAAAATTGGAAAAGAAAAAGGAAAATTGGAAGCATGAAAAGGAAGGAATGGAGATAGTATCAGTTCATACCTGGTGTTCCTCAAGGGGCTCATTCAACAAGCAGCTACCATTTTGATTCCACTCACCACCATAAAAGTGCCTTGGAGATTGCAACCTCCAGAACTTGATCGTCTTTTTTGGGAATTCTTTCTGTATGTAAGCTACCATATTGTCAAGGACAACTTTAAGTCCATCCAACATCCCCAGGGGAGGAAGTATTGGTTTCCCAGCCTTGTAAAAAACAAGAGGTGTTTCTTTTGGGAATTTATCATAGCCCCACCTAAAGAAGATCAACAAGCAAGTAAATTCTTAAATTCACAATGTGTTTCAAATAGCTTCATATGTATAAAAGACAAATACAGTGCGCATAGCATCCTATGTACCACCCAACATCACTGAAGTGAGATAAAATTACTTGCCAACTAAGTTCAGGACAAGCAAATATGACAGCAAGTGGGACCATTTTAATTCCTTTTCTCTTCCTTATTTTTCTAGTGTTCTCCTTTTCAAGGGTGCACCTATGCATGTGGGCTACAAAAAAGGAGGTAGAGAGGGTGGGCTGGAAACAAGGGAGCATTTGCTTCCTTGAATTTCGATAGGCAAGCAAAGAAAGAAGACAATCCATCCTCTCATTTCTTTATTCAAGCAGCAATATACTAAATTTCAATCTTATCATCAAGGTAGACTCCGACCACTGATGACAACACAGGCATGCCACCTATAAAAAGTATATTCAAGAAATTCTCTGTGCACTCATATAAGTGTAGCACACCAGTACCATTACATGGAAACAACTGAAATATTGATCACATTCACAAAATTGCTACTTTCATAAATTAGCAAAAAGGTAAAAATGTCTGTGTGTGTGTAAGAGAGATAAAGAGAGAGAGAGAGAGAGATACCAGTGGCCAGTATTGAAAACCAGAACATCATAAAAATTAATGATGCCTGCCCAGTCCTCTGACGGAACATCAATATCTACTCGATGTATGCCATTCAATCCCTCTTGATCAAAAACAGTTGATTGTTTTGGCTGCAACCTTTATTTAATCAATAGCAATCACGTAAGTTTGCCATTTCAGAATATTATGAACCAACCCATTTGTCAAATTAAGAAGAAACAGGATTCTCAATTAAATTACACCAAGGCAAAAGCTAAACAACCACCCATCAAATCCCTTAAAGAGTAAAACAAATAAGGAAAGAGTATATCTCTTTCTCTTTAATATAAAACACCACTTATCAACAACTAGGATTATGCATTTACTACTTTGGCTTACAATCCCAAACTTGAAGGAAATTGTCATTGTCATGTAGAACATTTTAAAATTGCCCTCAGATTGTCATGCTGAATGACTCTCATCTCCGTTTCTGATGGATTAGATGATTAGGGCGACTGCCGATGATAATTAACCCTAGAACTCTTAAAAATGCATCTGAACTAAGGATTAAACCATGGGGAGATGGTTTTGGGCAAAAAAATAAAAACAAAATTATGAACTTTCTTGGTACAAGGATAACATTGGATAGAGATACTCGTGTTTGAAATCAACAGATTGATTCTGATAGCTACATCTAAATACCTCCATTTCAATGATTCTAGCTTAGCTGCATTCTCCTGGAACATATAATCAGTCCTTCATAGTGTAACTCATAATTCAGATCCAAATAACTTGGTTTATGGTCACTATTATTTGGAACGAAACATACAATCTAATTTCTCTCAGCATTTCAATGCACAAATCTCTCATTCACCAATAAAGAGAGAATAGATGCCACAATGAGCTCCAAAAAGAAATAAAAAATAAAGTAAAAGCCAATGCTGGATAAGTCTATTGAAAACAAGTATTATCAATACATAATGCCTCAAAAAGACTACAGTAATTCCTCTCAATTTGTGGACAACAAAATAAAACCCCACAATCCAATTCTTAAGCACTAACTAATACTTATTACCACAAACACCAGACTAGGTGCCATGTTTTTAAGTCGCCCACCAATTTATATAATTCAACTATGAGAAGTAACGAAGATATGCAGTTGCTAGGTCCTACACGGTTCCGCTGCAATGCAATCAACAATCTGAACAAAAAACATATTTACTTACTTGTATTTGGCAAGCAATACAGCTCGATGATAAGCAACTGTGACATTGAATTTCGGAAAATAAGCCCCTCTCCAAGCCCCCTTCCTCTTCCACTTCTTTGCCCTCTCATCAGCAACCCTGAGAATACACAGAAACGAAACCAAGAAATTCTCATTCAAAGAGTCCCCAACAAACCCAATATTCTTGTTCCTCATCAGACCCAGAAACTCAAAAGGGTCAATCCTCGACAATTCACACTTTCCAGGGACCCATTTCCAAGAATTGATCAGACTCATGTTGTCTCTCTTGTTCCTTAAACAGTTCCAGGCGTTTCTGTGGAAAGGGCATGTCTCATCGTACATGGGTTTTTGATTTGTGTCTGTGACCCAGTGGCCTTCGAAGAGATTGCATTTGGGTGAAATTGGGATTTTGGGTTTTCGAGGTTGCGAATTGGTTGATGAAAGGGTATAGAGAGGGAGGAGTGTGGAGTAGAGGAAGATGAGTACAATGATCGGTAATATCAGCCATGTGAAGAGCGATGGTGGTGGCTTCGGAGCCATTTTTAATCATCTCTTGTGATCATTTGGCTAAGAAACACGCAAAGGAGAATTTGGAGAGAGAGAGAGACTTCGGTTACTTCTATACGATCTGGTAGATTGAATGCTCTGTGAGATCTGTAAGACTGGAAAACTGGTTCAGAGAGCACTGCTTCGAAGTTGGCTTCTTCTTCGGTCACGTAGCCTAACAACGTCGTTCCGTAATTATTTAAGTAGAGTGCATCTCTGATAGTTGAGAATTAATACATAACGTCACCATCTAATCTAATAATCTATATAAATGATGGTAAAAAAAATTTTACACAACTCTAAAATTTTCACCTCTTACATAACTCTCTCTCTATATATACATATATATACACACGATTTTAATTGGACTTTCATTTTATTTCTATCTTATACTCTCTCTCTTAGCATTTTTTATCTTAACGATTCTAATTGGACTTCTTTCTTCAAAATATTTGTATAATCTTATAGATGAAAAAATATTTAAATGTTAAAAAAAAATTCTAGGTTGTACACATTTAAAGTCAAGTTAATCACTAACAAAAAAAATTCATAAATAAGCTAATCACCGATAAAAGAATAACAAAAATTCAAAATCAAACTAGTTATCAATAAAAAAATAACAATGGCAAATAAAAAAAAAATAAGTGAAATCAATTGCCCCAAAAATTCAAAATCAACTATAATTTTTTTTTTTTCTTATTTGCATCATTTTCCTCTTTCTAATGTTTATATTTTTTGAATACTTGAATAGTGCAAAAATAGACACCGAATTAAAAAAAAATCAGTTAAATCAATTTTTATTTTTTTTAAGTAGTGAAATTTTGTTTTTGTTGATTTAGTTTAATTACAGTGTGAGAATATTTCTGTAGCATCCAAGAAATCACAACGAGAGATAATTTAAATCAATTGCCCTCGCCACTACAAAAAAGATCCTTGTTAGTCCTCGTTGGATAATGTTAGTTCAGTTGGATTTTTTATTTTTTTTTGAAAATTTTTTTTGTAGTTCAATGTGGCNTATTTCTGTAGCATCCAAGAAATCACAACGAGAGATAATTTAAATCAATTGCCCTCGCCGCTACAAAAAAGATCCTTATTAGTCTTCGTTGGATAATGTTAGTTCAGTTGGATTTTTTTTTTTTTTTTGAAATTTTTTTTTGTAGTTCAATGTGGTTGATTCGTTTGATTTAATTTAATGATTTAATTGTATGTTCTTAATGATATTTGTTATTAAAACTAGATAGCCTATTTATTAGACTTAGCTAGAGGTTGAAAAAATGATAACTCATTTGATGGAGAGAAGAATCGTCATGAAGATATATATGACATGATAATTTTGTAATGGTGCTAATTTAAATTCATGAGGATTCTCAATTGTGTTATTATAATATGATTCTTCTTCATTTCAACTGTTGGACTTCTTTTATTTAAGACATTCTTGGGTGCTCCATTTGCTTGACGAGTTTTTTTTTTNATTTATTAGACTTAGCTAGAGGTTGAAAAAATGATAACTCATTTGATGGAGAGAAGAGTCGTCATGAAGATATATATGACATGATAATTTTGTAATGGTGCTAATTTAAATTCATGAGGATTCTCAGATTATGTTATTATAATATGATTCTTCTTCATTTCAACTCTTGGACTTCTTTTATTTAAGACATTCTTGGGTGCTCCATTTGCTTGACGAGTTTTTTTTTTTTATTAAGAGTGTCTTTTCAAGCATGAATAATAACTAGCAAACCTATAAATAGACAAGGCGAACCCTATTTTGGTGGTTATTAAATGACATGATATGATAGTTACTAGAATATGTAAAATCCAACAACCTACATGTTATCTTATCATTGAATTGGTTAAACCCAATATTTTTTTCTGATAGTCCTTATTTTGAATATTTGATGAAAAATTAAATGGTTAATCTTATTTTGTACCTTAAAAGATGCATTAATTCTCAATTTGTACACTTAAAGAAGTAGATTAGCAAATTACACCCTCAATATTATAAAACAGGTGCAATGTGGCTTCAATTCAAGCTTAAATTGCACCCTCAATCTTAAATGTCACCCTTGAATTGGGCTACATTGCATTTCTTTTATAATATTGAGAGTATAATTTGAGAATTCATTTTTTTACGGGTATAAATTGAGAATTAAAATGTTTTTAGGGTACAAAATAAGATTAATCCAAAATAAAATAAAAAGTGAAATATTTTTAACAATTTTAATAAGATTCTTTATTCTAATGGCAAAATAACTTCTACTATTAAAGTATTTAATTAAATATATATATTTATGATATTTACATTTATTAATTAATCGAGAAGTGATTGAATTTAACACTCGAAATATAGAGAGTCTATTGAAGATGAAGTTTTAGTTGTTGACTGTTGGGTCGTTAAAATAGAAAGTTGAGTGAGAATAAATGGTCTATTTAGAGATGCTCTAAACTAGAAGGTTGTAGTTTTAAGTAGATCATCTCCGTCCAAGTTTAAATGTTTTGCTTAAATTCGTGTAAATATTTGCTTAAAAACATTGATTTGATATAAAATAATTTAATGGATAAATTCAAATTTCGAGGAAAATAAATTCAAATTTAAATATTTGACATTTGTCCGACAATCTTTAACAATATTGTGTCCAAAATATTATTAATTATGATTTGTTAACGAGAAAAGCAAATGCTACTATAATTTTATTTTTCCTTTTTATTGATACTTTATCGAATTTTCATTCTAATATGCATTTAAACACAATTTTCAATTTTTCTAAACTGTAGATCACTTACGATGAATTGAAATGAAATCTTATATACAAAAGTTTCTGTCAATAAAGTATGAATGAATTATCACTAAAAATAATCATAGAAACGTGATGAATATCCAAATTCATTATTTATCCTATTCTCATGTTTATCATTTACGATTCTTCTCATCTAATTTGGTGTATGTGTATAGATATATATATGCGCATACACAGAGAGAGCTGCATTTGTTTGAACTTAAATGGTTTTGACATAAAAATTTATTGTTTTAGTTTCCCATTAATAGAAGTAAGGAATTGTAAAGCCATTTGTTTCAGATCACAGCATCATACAGTATTGCTCAAACATAAACTTTAAAAGCCTATAACAAGAGCACTTTTCCCTGACGTCGATACAAACGAAAGTTTTGTACATTGGATATGATATTTTGATAGTTTTGAAACTCTTGACAAGAGATCATGCAACCAAATAAACCATGGGCAGCACAAAGTGAAAGCCTGCTTTGCTAGTTCCCTTTTAAGATGTCATAAAATGATACAGGCCTCTTCTTATGCTTATCACAAAGTCCCTGAAAACGTAAAGAATGTCGCGTTAATGCTCCATTTTGACAAAGGGAAAAAGAAAATTGGGGTGGTGTGGGGTGGGGGGTATGTTGTAGAGAACATGAACATCTTCTCTTTGTAGGTGAAATAGTAAACGATACCTCTACTGCAGCAGCCAAACGCAAAATTGAAGCTTCACACCATGGACGGCCTATTATTTGCAAACCTATAGGAAGTCCTTGCTTATCATAACCAACCTGAACATTTTGAGACAAAAAATAATCAAATGAAAGCTTAATTAGCTAACAGAATCGGAAAAGATGAAAATGGTGCTAAAGTATTACAAATATTATGGTTTCAATCCTGTAACGGAGCCAAAAACTTTGAAGTAGGGAACCAACCAGGAAACATGCAATCAAAATATTAAAACTTTAGGGAGGGCCACATAAAATTATATTTAAGTTAAGGGCAAAAACTTTAATGATTGACACCTAGGGAGCCATGCCCCCCCCCCCCCCAAA